TGGGGCAGCAAACGTGGCAGGATGGGAGCAGAGATATTTCCCTGGCAACCCAAAACCCCTCATCCCACCACTTGGACCCACATTTCTGCCCCAGACTGAGATCTTGGGAGGGCAAAGGGGGTGCCATTTTTTTACAGGAGGGTCCTGACACCTCTGTGAATGACACGGAGGAGATAAACTGTTCTGTGCATTGCACAAATATTTTAGCAGCCTTTGCTTTAGCATCCTCCTGTTGTAGAGCTGAGAGGACACCCCTGCACAGTGAGGACATCGCTTCTGCCTTCCTTCCAGAAATCATCCCCTTTTTAGCAAAATTACATGCTGTTGACAAAAACACTAGTTTACACAAAGTCATGGGGATCCGCCTGAGCACCAAGAAAGTCCCTGAGCCTGCCTGGTGCGCACTCGTACGGCACAGCTCAGCCTGTGGTTATAGCTCTGGGATGCTGCTGGGGCTGGGGCTGCATCCCGAGCATCCCCAGTCCCCACATTCTGGGTGCTGTGCTGGGGTCTCAGAACAGTTTAATTCATGTCCTGCCCTCCAGCACTGTGTCAAAAGCACCACTGCATACCCCCAGTGATCACCAGGACCCACTTACCTCTGCCTTTGAGACCGAAGGTGGCAACGATGCCCAGTCTGGACATCCTGAGCTGATGCTGGTGTCCAGCCGGCTCTTCCAGCAGCACAAATGGTTGGTGAAGCCCCCAAAAAACCCCACCCAAAATGCAAATGCTCCCTGTTTATATGCCCTGAGCAAAATGCTGGCAAAGGCAGGATGCCAACTCCAAATTTCTGTCACTGCCATCACCCTTGCAGTTAATTGCTGGGAAAATCTCAGCACACCCGACAGGACCTGGGGGAGCTGTTTGCATGCTCCAGCCGTGTGGGAGATGCTTTCCTTGCCTTTTCAAACAGCATTTCAGTCCCACACTGGAAAAAAACCACTAGGGGAGGAGGACTTTGATGTCCCTTGTGCCCCTTCCTTGGGTGGGGGGAAAGGAGGAGGACTGGGGGGCTCTTCCTGGGCGTGAGGAAGACGCCAGCTGGAGCTGCAGCTTGCAGCAGGAGCACCCCATGGATGCCATGCCTGTGAGGCTATTTGCTATTCTGGGATGTGGTTTTCTCTCTCTTTTTGGCCAGAAATTCCACTCTGGACTTACAAAAAGAAAAAAAAAAGGCCAAACCGCTGTTTTGTCGACGTCATTTGTTTTTGCCAAATAGGCATTTCCTAAAGCAAAATCCCTCTCTCGGAGCGTTACCTCGCTGCTAACAGCTCCACGAGCGTGTCCTTTCCCCTCTGCTCCAAAAATCATCCAAACTATTGCCTGCAAGTGCTTCCACTGCAGGAAACCTCTCAGCTGGGAACTGCGTAGGACCCAAGGGGACAGGAGGTGCCCAAGCATCACCCGTGCCCCGGGGTGCAGCCCGAAGCATGCCTGCCATGGCTCACTTACTAGGTGCCGTGGGAGCCGGCGTGGCAGAGGCACCGGCCGGTCTCAAAGTGGCACTGGCCGTTGACGCAGTCGCTGCAGACGAAGGCGCAGTTCTCCCCGTATGTCCCATTCCGGCACTTGGTTTCACACCTGGGGAGGGATGAGGGCAGGCAGCTGGAGTGCCCACGGCTCCTGGGGACCTCCAGCATCCCCCCGGCTCTCCTGCCTGCAGGTGGGGAGATGGGGCTGTGTGTTGTCAGCCCCGTTTGGGTGCTGCAAAGCCCCAGCACCAATCCTGGGCACAAAAGCCTGCGGGAAAGCATCCCACCTCGAGAGCTGAGCCCAACCGCAAGCATCCAACATTACCTGGGGGCATGGGGCAGGGGTCTCACAGGCTCCCTCCAGTCCCATGGCTGTGCCAGTGGGCTCATCCCATTCCTGTCCTCCCCTCCTGGCTGCAGAAACCCACAGCCACCCCTGGTCCCTGGGCAGGGAGCAGCAGGAAAGCTGGGCATTGCTCTGCCGGGGCCCAACTCTGCACTCAGCCACACTCACCGGTCTCCAATCCAGCCCGGGTTGCAATGGGAGCACTTGCCATTGATGTGGTTGCAGGTGTGGCCGTCCTTGCAGGGGGGACAGAGCTTCTCACAGCCCTCTCCGTAGAAGCCAGGCGAGCAGGGCTGGTCACACTTGGTGCCGTTCCAGCCCGCCTCGCAGGTCAGGCAGCGCCCATCCGCCACGGTGCACGGCTGCAGGCTCTTGCACTGCCCGCACCTGCAACGGCCGAGGCGGAGCCCATCACTGGGTGCAGCATCCTTGAAACCTCCTGCCGCCACCTCCCACAGAGCCCGCAGTGCCGGATCAGGCCCAACGGGGTCTGGCCACTCACCGCCTCCTGCAGCCTTGGCCGTACAAGCCAGCTGGGCACGGCTCGCGGCAATACTTCCCCCGGTAGCCTGGCTCGCACGTGCAGGTCCCATCCACCTGGTTGCACTTGCCCTTGTAGCACTGGCAGTAAAACTGCTCGCAGGGCGAGTTGTTGCAGGAACATTGGTTGTTGCAACTGCGGCCCCACCAGCCGGGCTGGCACAGGCAGTTGCCTGTCTGCTGGTCGCACTGGGAGTTGTGGCTGCAATAGCAGGAGCTGGAGCATTGGGGTCCCCACCAGTTGGGCTCGCAGGTGCACTTGCCTGTCTTCTGGTCACACTTGCCGTGCTTGCAGAGGCAGACATTCTCGCATTTGGGACCCCAGCGGTTGGGGTTGCAGGTGCACTGGCCCGTCACGTCCTCACATTGCCCGTTGGGGTGACAGCTGCACATCTCCTTGCAGTCCGGACCCCAGAACTGCCGGGGACACTCTGCGGGCAAAGCCGTCAGCCTCGGCACTGCCCGGGGGATAACCCCACCACCCAGCACCAGTGGAGATCCCCAGTTCCAACAGGACCTCTCGACCACAGTTCCCCCTCCCTCCTCCCAGTGGACTGGATCTCAGAGGAGACCCCTCCAAAGGGACGACACCCTGGGGACAAAGACAGGGGGACAGGCAGGGGCAGAGCAAGAGCAT